CATTTCACACCAAAGATAAACAAAAAGGAATTATGTTTTGCATAAAGAAAATTGAACCCATTCTTATCTATTAAAAAATAAAAAACTTGTGACATTATTTTCAAGTACATTTTAAGCACAGTTTAATTGTATTAAAATATAAAAAGTGCATTAATAAAAAGCAAAAGGATCATGCAAAAATTAAAGGAAGTTCAATAAATATGACTATGAAATATAAATATTGAAAATTTAAATAATGTGATTTTGTTTGTATTACAGTAATGAGAATTTAAGGGTTAAATGTGCTTAATTGTCACGAAAATAATGTCAAAACACGGAAAATCTTAAAAATAGGCTTAATTTTCTTTAAGCAAAATATTATTAAACTCATTCCGTTCTATTCATTTTGGGGTCAGATATGACCCGGACAAGTTTTTGACAGGTTTTGTGAGATTCGCCCGGTAATTTAGCGTGAATGTTTAGGATTTCAGAGATATCAAAAAAGTTCATCAAAAAAGCAGTTCTTGTTTTTGTGAGATGGGCTGAATGGAAAATAAGCTCACGTTTTAAAAATGGTATTGTCTCATTAATGTACAAGGAACCCTATCAGATGTGACAAACAAAAATCTTTTGCTTTTGTACAACATATTTCCGCTGTTTAAGTTGTGAGTTGTGAGTAAAACCTTCATTTGACAGGAAAGGCCTAATAATTTGTTAATACTTAAAGCCCAAAACAAGCTTTCACGAGTATAAAATGAGTAAAACAGAAAGTGTATTCAGAATCCCTGATGTCAGCAAGTCACACTCACAGCATCATCACATCATAACATTAACCAGAAGTAAAAATCACTGTGCTGAAAGCAGATATGATTAGTCTGTAACTAAACGGCTCTTAACCAGTGAGTATCATTAGCTGGTTTAGGTCTTCATCTTTTTTCCTGATCCAGCTGTGGTTTGTTTGTTACGGCTCTTTGTAGGAGCAAATGTCTGTTAGTTTGGCTTTTTATTCTTATGCTACAGGCGGCATGATTTCTCTTTCACACTGAAACTCACTTATATCACCACAAAAACACCCATCTCGAGCTTCTGTTTAATTTAATTCCCATAATGTACTTCACTGAAGCCACACAAACACCTTGAGATCCAAAAGTCTCCACTGAGAAGACATGATGGAGCTGGAACGGGCCAGATTTACCTCCCTTCCATACCCTTTACTAGACTGACCAGAACTAGTGTGCAAACCTCCACGTCCGGCTCTGTAACAGACATCCTGATGTTAGATGTGTCCGTGAGGCTCACGGAGGGCCAGTGGATCAGAGCGAGTCCTTTGGCTCAGTGGACTCTTCAGTATTGAAGGGTTTTGGCTCTTTTTTCATCCTTTTGCTGAACCAAACACGTTCTTCTCGATCTCTGTAGGCCTTACAAATGTCTTCAGGCAAGAGTTACACAAGTCCGTTTACTCAAACGACATGAGATTCGCTGGTATCTACAAGAGCGGAAAGAGCGTTATGCATTTATAGTTTAGTTGTTCTCAGTAGCTGAACAATGCCACAACTTGCTGCATTACAACAGAACTCATTCAGAATTTTGAGTCATAAGTATTTTTTCATACTATTAAATACATATCAGTTAATATAAATATATACACTAACATTCAAAAGTCTGGGTAAGATTTTTGTCTCTTCTGCTCACCAAGGCTGCATTTATTTGATCAAAAATACAGTAAAAACAGCAATATTGTGAAATATTATTACAATTTAAAATAACTAGTTTCTAGGTGAATACATTGTAAAATGTAATTTATTTCTGTGATTCTGTGATTACTCCAGTCTTCAGTGTCACGTGATCCTTCAGAAATCAGTCTAATATGATGATTAGCTGCTCAAGAAACATTTCTGATTATTATCAATGTTGAAAACAGTTGTGCTGCTTCATATTTTTGTGGAATCTTTGGTAAATAAAAAGTTAAAAAGAACAGCATTTATTTGAAATAGAAATCTTTTGTAACATTATTAATGTCTTTACTGTTACTTTTGATCATTTTAATGCATCCTCGCTGAATAAAAGCATTAATTTCTTTTTTAAAAAGCAAAGCAAAACAAAACAAAACAAAACAAAAATCTTACTGACTCCAAACTTTCGAACAATGGTGTACTTATATTGTGCACATACATATTAGTATATAAATTAAATATAAATATATAAATATAAAAAAAAACATTTAAACATTACAATTAAAATATTAAACCATAATATTAAAAAAAATTACCCCGTGTTCATAATGTGATACCGTTTTTGCATTGATTCCAGACTTACAAGCTTTATTCATTTGTTATGAATACCAGTAATTTGATTTCTGAATCTCTTGAATTTGTGTCCATATCAATTTTATCTATCTATCTATCTATCTATCTATCCATCTATCCATCCATCCATCTATCTCAAGCTAAATGCATGGAAATGAGTGGATCAGTGGTTGTTGATACCTGAGGTCTTCTTCTCCGACAGGCCTCCTCCAGGTGTTTGTGCCACATGATCGCAGTGAACCGATCGCTAGTCTGAAACTTGTAAACATTCCCTGAGAAACACAGAGATTCTGCTCCAGTTATGTGGATAAAATCATTTCACAATGAATACATTTGTCATATAAAAGCACTAAAAGAAACCCTGTGTGAATCATATTTACCTTTGTCAGGATGGTTGAGCTGAAAGATGTTGGGTTGAGCTGGATCATCCGGCAGCACCACCATCCAGCCCAGAACACACACTTTCTTACACGGTGAAGACTTGTACTGTTATACAGCGTGAGATTCCATAAAATGTTATTTTCATGTCTAATGATTCATTTTTCTTCTTAAAAGAATGAAATATGTCTCCATTAATGTTGACATTTTTTATTTATTTAAAATTAATTTTAATAAAATTAAATAAAAATTTATATTATAAAAAAGTATATTTCAAAATATACAAAAAAGGCCAAATATATTTGCTAAAATATTTCAAAATTTATTTATATACATATATTTTCTACCAATATATTTTTGTATTAATATTTTTGAAAATATATTCAAAATATTATCTATCTATCTATCTATCTCTCCATCCATCCATATCTTTTTAAAAATATATACTTTAAGTATATATTTTAAAGGCATTTAGTGATAACTTTGCCCTCCATTTATTTCAAACCATGAACATACATTCAAATGTCACATTTGAAGAAAACATTTTATGCTGTCTATAATGCATACACATTTGAATAATAATCAGCAAAGGGACATACTTTACAATGTTAAAAATTAAATAAAAATAAATATTCTTATTAATACTTATATATATATGTAGCGTCTGGACCACTCAAACACACAATATATA